CGCCCCCGCTGCTCCAGACCCACCCCTCGGCCCCCGCGGACGAGCCCGCCCAGCCTCACCCTCACCAGGCCAGCCCAGGGAGAGGGCAAGGCTGCTGACCAGGGCACCCGGCCAGGCAGCTCACCACTGCCCCGCCCCGGGGCTACAGCGTCTGAATTTCTACTCACCAAGGACGGGCGGCAGGCTGGCCCTCAGCTGCCCACCTGCACCCCGTCTGGAGCCATGCTCCTCGCGCTCTCCTCAGCGCCCCCCCATACCCGACCCCGGGACGGCCCGGGAGGCTCCATCGACAGTGACTCACGGCCCTTCCCTCCTGCCAGCTGAGGCTTGTTCGCCAGGCAGCAGTAGGGCGGGAGGGTCCTCGGCTCCAGCTGCCTCAGGGGCGAGCGTTGGCCGCAGCTGTGTCTGCCCACAGGGCTGGGGAGGGCCAGGGGGTGGGGCCGGGGCTGGTCCCCGGGGCTTCCCGCTGCCTGGCGATCGCCCCCCCACTCCGGCCCCCCCTGCAGCCACGGGAGACTGGAGCCATCTGAGCAGGGGACCAGCTAAGACCAGACCCTGCTCGCACTTTAAAAGTTCCAGCGCCCCACTGCCACCTGGCACACAACCTGACACACATCCGGGCATGTCTCAGACACAAAGTCACACACATCCCAGCAGACCAGGGGCTCCTGACTCAGCCATGTCTGCTTTGTGTTTGTTTGTTTGTTTGTTTGTTTTTGCGGTACGCGGGCCTCTCACTGTTGTGGCCTCTCCCGTCGCGGACGCGCAGGCTCAGCGGCCATGGCTCACGGGCCCAGCCGCCCCGCGGCATGAGGGATCCTCCCAGACCGGGGCACGGACCCGTGTCCCCCGCATCGGCAGGCGGACTCTCAACCACTGCGCCACCAGGGAAGCCCTGCTTTGTGTTTTTAGCCCAATGCCCTGCACTGTGCTCCTCAACGGACATCCGAATGGACTCGGACTCCCAAGGCCCAAACTCGGCAACGTCAGAACTTACCATCCACCCAGACGTGTCCACACTACACACCGGGACAGGCCCCGCCTCGAAGCAGAGACGCTCCCACGTCAACGCCGGCACCGTGACCCACACGCAGAGTCCGAGACCTTGACCCCCAGCTCCACCCGCAGTACAGACCCTCCCTGGGTGTGTCCAGCCTCTGAGGCAGCCAGGCCCCTGTCTAGGGCACCGAGCTCCTCCTTTCTTGGGGCGTATCCTTCCCCTCTCTAGACCCCGCAGGCCCCTCTACAGCGGGGTGACCGGGCAGCCGTGCTTCAGAGCAGTGAGGTCTGAGGGTCTGGGAGGCCCCCGGCCCTGGAGAAGCTCTGGAGCCCTTGGGAAGGGGGTGGGGAGAGCCAGAGGCCTTGCTGGGGAAGGCCTGGGAGGGGCTGCTCCGTGCCTGTAAAGGCAGCCTGGGCTTCCACCCACACGCCCACCTGAGAGCGGTCAGCTTCTACCCGCTAGAACCTTCCGGGCTCGCATCTGCTACGTGGGCCTCAGTCTCCTGAGGGGGCAGTGGGGGGGGGGGGTCGCAGGTGAAGATGCTCATGGAAGCACCTCTGGGGGGGAGGCGCAGGGTGGCCCCAAGGAGTTCAGGGGTCACCAACCACATGAGGGGGGCTGCCTTCCAGACACGCCCCCAGGCTTCTCTGACCCTGACAGGATGTCCCGCAGGCAGGGATAAGACACCCAGTGCCCAGGCCCTGGGGAGGACAAGCTCACAAATAAAGGCTGAAGCCCAGAGGGGGGCAGAAGCTAACGTGAGGTCACCCAGCCCAGACCCCACCCCAAAACGCCACACTGGGAACCCGAGCCTCATCAGTGGGAGGGGATCTGTCCCCCCCCC